AATTCTCAAGAATGGAATTCCGGACTGGAATCTATAAATATTTGCAGCTCTTCTAATCCCAGTGGTTCTACAAATCATAGTGAGACTATTAGAGACCGAGGGACTTTGATTGAGAGTGATAATATTCATCTCTCTCCTAATGTAAATGGTTATACGAATCATGTTGAGACACTTGGGAATGGTGGCAGTCCAACTGAGAGTGAAATCCATAATGTCCTGCGTTTGCAATCTGAATCCGTCAGGCACTCAAATTCTTCGAAAGAAATTGCAAACGATGGATTTATGTCTTCAAAATGTATTCTATCTTTGAACGGTAGTGAACACGGAAACTCTGCATCACCGAAAAAATGGAAAAGGATTTTGTGGAAGACGTGTGTTTATCTTGTTACCATAGGAATGCTAGTTTCTTTGCTGGTCGGTCTAAATATGTCCTGGACTGTAATCACAGCTGCACTTGTCATAGTTGTTCTTGATTTTAAAGATGCCGAACCGTGTTTAGAAAAGGTGACACCGATTTAATAATTTCTCTCGTTAAGTTGGATAAGTTAGTACTCAACAATACTTAAAAAAAGAAGAAGACAATAATGTCTACTATAAAAATAAAAATTGTCCAGTACAACCTTAATACTTCATGCCAAACTTGCATTGGCAGTATATTAATGAGATTAGGCATCTTATTTGGAAAAGGTTATTGATGCTATTTTATTTTCTAAATCAGGTATCCTATTCGCTCTTGATATTCTTTTGCGGAATGTTTATTACAATCGATGGCTTCAACGGAACTGGAATTCCAAGCACTGTGTGGGATTTCATGGAGCCTTATGCACAGATAGATCATATTGGGGGAATGGTAGTTTTAGCTGCTGTCATAATTGTGCTCTCAAATTTGGCGTCAAATGTACCTACAGGTATGTCGAATGTACCAGACTTTGAATGTGAGATAATAATTTGTCGCCACTAGAACGATTAAGGAGAAGAAAAGGAGACATCGGATTGAATTATATGTCGAACACTCAAACTTGAAAATCTTCCAGGATAGATTACATGTTTGGATGATTCAAGTGACATTGGACCAAGCGTACTGCTAAGTGGGAAAGTATGTTATCCCGTTGCTACTCGGGTAAATTAACATAACAAAATTTAGTATTTGGAAGCCATATTAAAGGCTTCCTTTCCCCAATTTTAATGATGGCACAGCCTCCCCTAGGATAACAAACTGCCATTCTAATTTCACTACCTAATGAAGGGGCATGATAACCTCTTTGTAATAAAGGAATTCATTCACCCCTTCCATCGGCCAAGAACAATTAATTGGATTGGACATGAGTCACAAAGAAGAAAACAGAAAAGATTAACACCTCAAAGCATACAGCTATCTCCCAGCCTCTGCTCCCTATGGCGTAGATGAAGAAGCGAGACCATAAGGAATTTATAGGTAGTTGCACAAGGGAATCCAAATTGGAAGTTAATCACATACTGCTCCTATTGAATTTGTTTGTATATCACACAAGCCACCATTAAAATACTAAAATATTTCATGTCACGGCATTCTTTTCTTCAATCTGAATGAAATATGATATTAGGAAACTTGCAGAAGCAATGTATGTACCCTGTCTATAGGGGTGTTAAAGTGAGGCCAGGCTTTGCGTTGTTGCCAGCAGGTCCCTACAGGTCAGATAAATAGATAAATTTAAAACAATCAAAAGGCCCATAGGGGTTGCCAATCTTGGCCTGGCCTGCTGGGATGGCAGATATGGCCACGGANGATAAATAGATAAATTTATAACAATCAAAAGGCCCATAGGGGTTGCCAATCTTGGCCTGGCCTGCTGTGATTGCAGATATGGCCACGGAGAAATATAGTGGTCTGAGCTTGGTCCGTACTTCTAACTGTACCCCTGGCCTCTCTATCCTAGTGAATATAACTGTGAGTTTCTTTCACTGTCAGTTCTACTGCTTGGAGCACGAGTGGCAACTTCTGCAGCAGCAATATCTCCTGCTAGTGAGAAGAAAGCATGGCTCATCTTAGCTTGGGTGAGCACGGTTGCAGGGAATCTCTCTCTCTTGGGATCGGCTGCCAACTTAATAGTGTGTGAACGTGCTTGTCGGGCTCCCTATGTCTACAATTTATCATTCTGGAGTCACCTCAAATTTGGAGTTCCCTCCACTATTATTGTAACAGCTATTGGTTTGACTTTGATAAGAGGATGACACCCTGTGTTCAATACGAGGTTCTCTCCAGTAAATTAGATTATGCTGATGCAAGATTCTGATGAGCAAGAATAATGTAGGTTTTGTGCAAATGTAGTACTTCTCTTGTGCATGTTCAATACATGGTAATGGATGGGATTAGGATAGTTTCAGTGTAGATTACAATTCGACAACGAGTTTGAGTTGGTGATTGGAAAAGGTTACGAGGAAAACTATTCCATTTGGGCACGGACCGAATT